CGCTTGTAAATGGCACTGAAATTCGTTTTTGTTGTTCAGAGTAGGACATCAATCACGATGCGCACAGTCCTAGCGAAGGTGTTATAAAAATATACGGATAGGCGTGGATTAGACCTGATTGATATCGGAATGCATGGATTTCATAGTTAGTTTAACGTTTTCTGGTCAAACATCCATTTTTTCAGCCTTGAGAGACACATGAAATACTTGTGGTGGTAAGTTATCACTGGGTCCTGGCTATAAATTCATGATGCCGAATGCAAGATGATCGTAAGGACTGTTTTCAACGAATTGAGGCACTGTGCCATCATGATGTGCAAGTCCTCGTAAATAATGCATTTTTAAAGAAAATTGGTGGACGGAAGTTCGAACCAATGTTGTCGATATCACCGTTTCCTCCATCGCAGTGAAAAATGGGGATATCTATACGAATCGCAGCAGAGCAGTGAAAATGGGGATTTCCATACGAATTGCAGCATTTCTATACGAAAGCAGGCGATTACAGGCATAAGATTGGCTATTGAGAAGGACATTATCACTAGTGAAGCACGGTTTTGATTGCTGAAAAGTGGTGATTTATCCAATCTTTCACGATGGAACGCCAGTATACTACCATTGTTAAAAACAGAGCCACGACCAAGGCAACAATAGCCTTCGACTGCATTCTCCAAGCCAAGCACGAGTGAGTGATGTTGAGCGTCTGTTCGCTACTGTTTTTACAGTGCTCAACAACAACTTCATTCGAGTGGTGATTTTGCACTCGCACTCAAATTCAGCGTTTACAAGTTATCTCTTACCAATCGTTGCGATTGCAAACACTTCAATTTATGTGCATTCAGCTAATGCCGATTAGCCATTTGGTCGATGATTGTTGAAAACGAGCGTATGCAATCATTTTCCTTCAAATGTTACGACGATTTCGGTGCCGTAGACATCATATACAATTTCATGTTAAACTGCATGTTCGTACTGAAATGACTGCTTTTGTATTTTATGCAATCTATTTCATCCGCATAATGCGACCGCATTCGTGTCCCTTACACGAATAGTAACCTAGAAGAAATCTTATTCAGAATCATCATTTGTCACACTCTACCTTCGTTGGACGTATTTGTTGGTTCAGACAATGCAATCAAGAGAAGCACTCATTCTGCTCGAAGCACCACTACCCTAATCTATCACTTCACTTTGGTGGGTCATATCGTCTGCAGGAAATCAATCATCAGCTGTGCGTAGCAGTTTTGCTAAAACTCGCTGTTGTCTTAACGAATCACCAAGATTAAGTGTATGATCAAGATAGATGGTGGCAACTCCGTTCAATTCATGCATTCATGCATGTTATTATCAACAATCCTGTTTCCTTTGAAGAAAGTCGATCATCCTATTCGATAAGATGATCACCGATAACATCACTGAATTTGTTTCATTGTCGTAAGTTCAACATCTCAGCATGTTCGATTACATATTCCTCCAATTCATAATCTAGGTGAAGAGTTCCAGATGTTAGCCAAATTCAACGGTGAATTCATGCCAAACAATTCGCTCTTTCGCTAAATGAGTAAAGCAACCTGTTCACTCACACAAGTCGTCGAATACTGCGAGAATATAATGTTCCAAATGACTGGTCCCGACACGAGCCAGATGAATCAGGTGATAATTTCACACCGTTCAGCATTGTTTTCAGTGCACCTGTCCCGTGCAACTTGTAATCACTTTGCAGTTGTCTGCTAAACATCATTAATAATGATTGACTGGTGAATGAAAACTTTTTGAATTGCAGACCCGAATTCCAGTCTATATGACACATTTGCCAGCTGGAACATCGCTAGCGAATCTCGTTCATTGGGCACAAATGGTGAACGCTAAGCGAGTTCAAAAATATGATTTGGGATCAGAAGAGAAAAACATGATGCGATATGGCACTGTAAGTTTTTGAAATTCACTTGGGAACCATCAAGTGCGAAAAAATTGCATTAATTTTGAAACATACCACCGATGTTCTGAAGTAGAGCCTCTTCGGTAATCGTGACAGAAACGTTTTCCAAGGCTTTCATTGCACCATCAAGTGATCAGAGAACACAACGTTAGAAATGCAGTCACGTTCGGATCGTTTCCATTGGATTCAGATGCCTATCAGTGAATATTTCAAAAATGTTCTGTTACAGCCCACACCGCCCGCTTACAATCTGTCACTCGTAAACGCTCCGGTTTATTTATATTGGAGTGATGCTGACTGGCTGACAGATAAACGTGATATACAGGTGAACCAACTTTTTGATTGGACAGCCTTTCGTTCAACTGGAAAGTTAAACATACAAGGATGTGCATTTTGTTTGGAAGCAATGTTCTCAAAGAAGTAACCTAAAACATCACATCCACCCTTAGAATTTAAAGAGCTCCACTATGAAAACATACTTTCAGGATGGTTTATTGGCAGTGATTCCCAAGGAATACATCACTGAAAATAACGAATTGGCCGACTTCAACCACTTTGATTTCATTTGGGGAACTCATGCAGCACCACAAATATACATACCAATTATAAACATTATAAAAGATGACCAAGATACTATTGGACTGTTATAAATATTCATTTGCTATGTGTTCTTTGTGTTTACGTTTCGTAATTGAACTTCACCAATTTAACAAAACGTCTGG